ACTTATAATAAAGCTTGGTTACTAGCTACAGAGCTGGCTCAAAGGTAGAGGACAGAGAGTGGTGGTGGAGAGTTGCTTTTCAGACTGGAGGCGTGTGACCAGCAGTGTGCCACAAGGATGAGTGCTGGGTCCACTGCTTTTTGTCATTTATATAAACAATTTGGATGTGAACATAGGATGTATGGTTAGTAAATTTGCAGATGACATGAAAATTGGAGGTGTAGTGGACAGGGAAGAAGGTTACCTCAGGGTATAACAGCATTTTGATCAGATGGGCCAATAGGCCAAGGAGTGGCAGATGAATTTCAATGAGGTGTCACATTTTGGAAAGGCAAATCAGGGCAGGACTTATACATATAATAGTAAGGTCTTGGGGTGTGTTGCCAAAAAAATAAGAAGAAAGAAATCTTGGAGTACAGGTTCATAGCTCCTTGAAAGTGGAGTCACAGGTAGATACGATAGTGAAGGCGACATTTGAAATGCTTGCCTTTATTGGTAAGTGCACTGAGCATAGGAGTTGGGAGGTCAATTTGCAGCTGTACAGGACATTGATTAGGCCACTTTTGGAATACTGTGTTCAATTCTGGACTCCCTCCCATATGCTGTGAAACTTGAAAGGGCTCAGAAAAGATTTACAAGGATGTTGCCAGGGTTGGAGTGTTTGAAGTATAGGGAGAGACTGAATAGGTCAAGGCTATTTTCCCCGGAGCATCAGAGGCTGAGGGGTGGCGTTCTGAAGGTTTATAAAATCATGAGAGGGATGAATAGGGTAAATACACAAGGTGTTTCCCCCCTCCGCCCCACAGACTGTTTATGGTGACAGGGGAAAAGAATCAAAAGGGACCTAAGGGGCAACTTTTTCCACACAGAGGGTGGTGCCTGAATGGAACGAGCTGCCAGAGGAAGTGGCGGAGGCTGGTACGATTACATTTAAAAGGCAACTTGGATGGGTTTATGAATAGGAAGGATTTAAGAGGGAGATGGGCCAAATACTGGCAAATGGGACTAGATTTATATAGGATATCTGGTCAGCATGGGCGAGTTGGATTGAAGGGTCTGTTTCCATGCTATATCTCCATGACTCTATGTTAGCTGGACAGCTGGTTTTTGGAAGCAGAGAGTGACTGCCAATAGCATGGATTCAATAACCAACTGAGGTTACCATGAAGGTCCCACCTTCTCAACCATACCCATTACTCTCAGATTAAGCTTACCACCAGTCACTGCTCTAGTGAGAAGACTGCCCTATGGTCTTCTGAGACAATGATGATTTAACTTTCTGAAGGCTAACATTAGGGGCCCTCTTGTAGTGCAGTGGTAGTGTCCCTACCCTTGGACCAGGAGGCCTGGTTTCAAGTTCCACCTGCTCCAGGTGAGCACTAACATTTCTGAACAGGTCCATTTGGAAATAGGTTAAATTAAAAAAAAAGGCTAGCATTCCACACTCCTTTCATTTTTAATGTATCTGACTACCATATTTTAGTGATCTACGTACACAGGCAGTCACTGGGTAGCATGCCGGAAATAAAGACCCACTAGTCCCAGGGTCATCACAAAAGTTAAATATTGTATGAAAGCGTGCAACTCTCCATGCCCCACCGCCATTTTAGATCTTGGTTGACAGAAAGGAAGAGCAGGTTTTATATTTAAGAAGAGAACTATTTATTACAAATAGATTCTAGCTATAAGTAATTATGAACCAACATAACTCTAACTCTCCTGATAAAACTCCCCTACAAAACAGACAAATCCATGGTGTCATGGGCAGAGGAAAGACAAGGAAGTCAGTTCAAATGGTCCCTGTCCACAGGTTGCACTGAAATTATGCCCTTCACCCCCAAAATTACACTGGCATCTATTTGTAATATCTTAAGACCATAAGACACAGGAGCAGAAGTTAGGCCATTCAGCCCATCGAGTCTGCTCTGCCATTCAATCATGGTTGATAAGTTTCTCAACCCCATTCTCCCACATTCTTCCACCAGCAACATCCTTGGAGCAACTAATGACTTTATCAAAGCAGCTACATAAATACTGTGATTACAAAAGAAGGTCATAGGCTGGGAATTCTGCAGTGAATAACTTTCCTTCCAACTTCCAAAGTCTGATCAACTACAAGGCAGAAGTCAGTAATATGAAAGAAATATTCTCCACTTGCTTGAATGACTGCATCTCCAACAAACAATCAAGCAGCTCAATACTGAAGTTAAACCATCTTACTTCAATCCTCATTCCCTAAAACATACTTACTCACTCAACTATAAATAAAAACAAAGAACAGTGGATGCTGGAGATCTGAAACGTACAAAACAAAAAATGCTGTTGAAATCCTAACGGGCTACTGAACTTGAATCTTCAATTGTTTTCTATACATAGATCATGCCAGACCTGCTGAATTTTGCCAGCAATTTCTGTCGCGTCTCTCCCACTCTCTCTAAAGCTGGCAGATCATAACTGAATTGTTCAGAGATAGTAGGAACTGTCGATGCTGGAGTCTCAGATAACAAGGTGTGGAGCTGGATGAACACAGCAGGCCAGGCAGCATCAGAGGAGCAGGAAAGCTGACGTTTCGGGTCTGGACCCTTCTTCAGAAACGGTC